TTTATCCCCTGCAATAAGCATTGCACAATAAATGTTTGAAGAGCACACTCCAGTAAAGCAATAGGAAAGCACAGCCTCTTGCTGTTACCCAAAGCTGTGAATGATACAGACATTTCCAGATATATAATGGTTATCTGAGGGGTATGTAATTTATCCCACGAGTGAACTGCAAATCTCATAATTCAAGACTGCCTTAGTCACGAATGAGTTATGGAGGTGTTTTTCACAAGTGGGATTAATCTCATATCCCATCGATGCTCATTATTGTATTTTTGCTTTATGCCTCCAAGGTATAAAATATTATCTTTTTTATTTTATTAAATTTTCCAACTTGTGTGGCTTGCCCTTCAAGTTCTTTTTTTTTTTTTTTTTAAATTAGAACTCTGAGAAGACAGGAAGACTCTGTAGAAGTAGACTAATATTAAGGGCACTTCCAAGTGGATATATAACAAAGAGAAAAATAAGCCTCCGAATTGAAAAAGAATTAATACTTTCAGCTTCTTGGTGATGAGTACTTTCTGCAGTTAATTTCTGAATATTCCGGCCAGGATTTGCTCCCGTTCTCTCTGCTGAACTCTTCATGCAGATTTCTTTAGAATTTTCTGTTTCCTCATTTAATAGTAAATAAGTTGATTATGCTTCACCACAGCCACATCCTCACATCTTTTTTTTTTTTTTTTTTGAAACTTTTTAAGATTGATAGTCAAAATGTTACATAAATGAACAGCAAAAGAAACATACATGTTCTTAGAATTATACGGATTAAAAAAGGTAGTGACTAAAATCTTATTAGCGTTTCGAACATGGCCACCATAGCCATACCAGGAACCAAACCAAACCAAACAAAACAACAAAAAACACCCACAAAAAACAGGAAATACATCTTTTCAGTTCTTTTTCTGACAGTATTTCTCCAAGCTCACCTGTCCTTATAGGATAATCCTTACTGTGAGATACCATCCATCTTTGGCTCTGTATCCCTTCAAACCATCACTATAAATTTCTTGATTGCCACTTTGCGTTTCTATTTAGTATCTCAATCAAACTGGCTATGTGAAGAGGTCTGTAGCATCGTCTTAATGCCAGTAAGCAGCAGGTACTGAAGGGGGTTTTGGTGCTGTGATTGATTTTTTCTTTCCTCTTATCCCTAAGTGTGGACATACATGTGGCGGAGTTTATGACTGGGAGTCCCTGATCTTTCATTCGCCTCTCCACCAAAACTTAAACTTAACATATACTTTCTCACTGGTGAGACATGAGTTTTCTCCTTTGTAAAGTAGCTTTCTACTTCTTCAGACTTGAAGACTTTTTCATTTAAAAAAAATGACAGATTTCTGCCTTGGTAACAGAGGAGATGCCAGACATCAGAGCTGGTTTTATGTAGTTTACAGTCAAGAGAAAAAAAAATAAAAAAGAAAGAAAAAAAAAAAAAAACCAAACATGATTGTGTGAGGGTGTTTGCTTTTTTTTTTTTTTTCCCTCCAAGAGGGAGGGATACAATATTTCAAATTATAGGCAGTTGTGAAATTTTGGTTTACACACTGCAGAAAACGTAAGTAGTTCTTGGGTCATTTAGATATTTCTCAAGGTGACAGTTGGAAAAGTTCATAAAAACAAGCCTTGTTTGAAGCCTGAAAAAGTAATTTTGTCAAGATTTACGGGCAGTATTAAAGACTTGAGGAACTAAGGGATTCAAAAATCTGCTTCTAACATAGCTGAGTGAGCTTCAGCCTGTACTTTAGAAGGCACTGTATCTTCTTGGGTTAGCAGAAATTGTTAATGATAATATAGAATAGAAGGTTGGTGCGAGGACTTCCCTTAAAAAAATTATGCTTTTTAGATACATTCTCCTCTCCAAGGTCTCAGTATTGCTTTGACTGAATAAAATTGTTCCTAGAGGGTTGCATTACAAAGGCTGAGTCTACCCTATTTTGATGATTCCCAAACTTAAAGAGAGGCACACACCACAATAAATAAAAAGGCGCTTCTAGTAGCAGGCATTTAGAAGTCCCATACTGGTGAAAATTTGAAGCCAGCTGTATACAGTACTCATCACAAATCAACCTTTCATGTTACAGTGACAGACCCTAAAGGAATATGCTGGTTTAAAATTCTTCGTTCTTCATTACATCTTTTTGCAAACTTGTGGTTACTTGAGCCGCTGGTGGCTAGGTAGAGGTGTCCAAGGAGGTCACAGAAAAGCTCACACTTGGCAACCAGGGTAAAGTTTTGCTCCCACCCTACTTGCTTCATGCTCCAGCCCAGCATTAGAGGCCACTCTGTTATTACGGCTCCTGTCTCACGAGACAGTCATAAAACCAGCGACTTCGTCCACTTGTGTTATAAATAAAAGCCCAGGCTCTCTGCCACAAGTTCCACAGGCTGCATTAATACTGCAGCTCTAATTCATTCTTTCTACTTAAATCCTCCTGCAGTTGTTAAGAGCATTGCTTACTTTCTGTCTGTAATTGCTAGATGCTACTTCTGTGCAGGGTAAATACATACTATACTGTAGAGGTGGCTGCATTTCAGTGGGAGTGAAATGCTTCCCTGCTTAAGCAGGATGCAGAAAGTATGGTCAACCACTTGAAATCCTTGCATGAAACATGTTCTGTGAACTTCAGGATGCTGGGGGAGGGAGTGCCTCAGGCTAGGCACTAATGCTTACAAAAGGACTTGATATAGCATGGTGCTTGCTTTCTTTTAACTTTGGAGAGGTAAGAGGTCCCAGAAAAAAAAAATGAGGCAGAGGAGCAGATTGCCTCAGAGCACATCACACACAAGCAGAATCTGAATCTAAATCTGCCAATGCAACTGCAGGAAACGAGCTTCCCTTTTACAAATGGAGACCTGGGATGTAAAGAGGCAGGGGATTTATCTGGAGGCAAATAGGCAGGCTTTGGCAGAGCCGAGGACAAAATCCCCATGCCCCGTGGCCCTCCGCACAATTTCAGCCCTGGGTCACCCTCCCAAGCCAGGCCCTGCCCCACCTCCACGGCAGGGCTGGAGCTATGAGCTACCAGACAGCCAATCTCATGCAAGAGGAACAACCTAATGCAATTCCAATATAAATTATGTATGAACATTGTGGCATAAGACAGTTGGAAAGCGCATTGTGTAATTCAGCAATTCAATCACGTTTGTTGTTAGTGTACAGTACCGTACACTGTAGTTTGAGAGGGGAACTGTTTCAGAGTCAAGTGGATCAAAAACAGTCTATGAAAGCCAACTAAAAAGGCTATTGTACTTAGTTGGCTGAAGTGGAGAATGAAGTGCTCTCCCTCAATTAAGGAAAGTGTGGTGGAGCTGATTAACCTGCTTGTTACCTTGGTAACCCGAGATTTAGATTGTGAATGAATACATAAGGCCACAGATACGTTTTATCAGACAAGAGTCTAATAAACAGTTTGAGTGAGAGAACTATAGGACTGAGAGGTCCTGACACTTAAATCTGTTTATGAGGTAGCACTTAATTGATAAGCAGCAGCCAGTGCTAGTAGGTATGTTAAGTCAGCAATAAATAGCATAGACAGGCACATACTATGCTGCAGCTGCCTTACACATTGTGCACACAGACCCAAACACTCCAAATCCTTCACTGGAGCAAGTTCCCTGAGCCACAGTCAGAGCTACCTGCCTTTCAGAGGGGCTGAACCTTCACAGCGTCCCCTGAAGTCACCAGAGTTGCTGCATGCAAAGTGCCCGTGCCGCACCTTGCTCAGCTCAGCGCTCTGCTCACTTCATTCCCTGTCTTTTGTGCATCCCAGGCTAATGGTTAAGACTTCATATTTATTAAGTTTCTTTCACCAGCCTCCACCCCTCTCTCGAAAAGGCCTGAGGCTACATTCTCCCCTCAGTTACACCTGTCCAATCCCATTGACTTCAGTGAGATTGAACAGGTGTAAGCAAGGAGAAAATTTGGACCCCTGTTGTCTAGGAATTGCATTATCTATGTTCACCACTGCCTTGACTTTATGTCACCGGCAAATATAATTAATTTATAGTTTGTCTTACTCTCTTAGTTGTTTAATAAATAGATGAAAACAGAAGACTCCTGAGGGACTTACTCTAGTTACCTGTAATAGAAACTCCCCTACTGATACAGCTTCTTCAGGAATGTCCTTCATATTTCCTCTCCTTTTCATCAATTCTTCATAAATTTTCATTTTCTTCTCCGGATTTTGCAGTTCTGCAAAATCACATTTCCTGTGTGTCATGATGTGATCTATTAGAAAAGAAATTATGACACCATTAGCTACTTAAAATGGAGCTGCTCTTAAGCTTAGAAAACCTTCCATTTGACTTCTGTTAAAATCATTGTCTGCACTTAACATGGGACATATCATAATCTAGCAATTAGTAATAGCAAATCACATTCTTATAAAGGCTGCTGCATGAATTAAAACAAAGACAAAATTTGGGCGTCCTGAGAAAACATTGGTGAGTTAGGAGTTGTAACTAGTTAGTTTAGTCAGTCTGGACTAAAGATTCTTGAATAACAGTTGCTGTTCTTTATGCTGCGCTGTCTTAGAAAGTTGGGGCTATCTGGTCAACCTTCTGACCATCTCTCTACTAAAGCTATTCTTTATTGAACTAGAAATAGTTTTAAACTGTTGCTAGATACCACTATAATCAGAGACAAGCACAGATAAATGGTTAGCTACAGGAGAAAAGAGAAACCTTCACCATAACGAGAAGCAAATCCCTCCAATGAGCTCATCATAGCTATTTCTGCTAGAACTAGTAACCTCAAATTTAATAATTTAATACATGTGAAGTAGAAGGAAGCTTAGCAATCTTTATAGGTCTTCCATATGACACTTTTTAGCCTCCTGAGCACTTTACAATAGGCAGTATCATTATCCCTGTTTTATAGGTGGACTACAAAGAGGCAAACACGAGCCTAAGATCATGCAACAGATCAGACAGAGAACAAGGACTAGAACCCAAGCTCCCTGAAAACCAATCCAGCATATTATTCTCCAAAACAAACCTATTTTGCACTGTGACGAGTCCCACTCCAACACCCTCTTCTCGAAAGCATTAGGAATTCTATCCATATTCCTGTGGGGGAGAAAAAAAAAAAGTGACTTGCCTTATAAAGCATTTTAGCTTTTTGCCATTTTAAATACTATTGCAGACTTCTTCTTAACTTCTAGTCAAAACTAAGCAGCATTAAGATATATTCGGAGTCAGGGTGTTGAACGACTGACAATGTCTTTTTTTGCTGTTGTAATGATGCATTTAAAGTAATTATTGAACGGTGGTTAAGTCAGGAGCAGGTCACCAGCTCTACACATGGCACTCTTCTCACCTTCTACTAAATTAACACCTCTCCTCCTAGACATATGGATTTCCTGTCACCAAAAACATTCTTCTTCCACTAGAGACAACAGACTATTGTGCCCACATTGTGCAACTTTGAGCTGATAACTAGAGTCCAATATATTATGCAGGTTGTGTTGCTCTAATAAATACAGAATTGACTCGTTTACTACCACCAATGTTGCCTCGATTATCACTGTTTCTCTCTAGGCCATTATTCATTGGTGAGAAGAAAGTTAAGACCTACTTGGTTCTCCATTAACCCAATGGTGTGAAACAAACTGGTTAATTTTTCAGCATGTGTTGTTTGTTATTTAATGAAAAAAGATTGTTTTATAGCTTATCATTAGCACCCTATTTACAAAGTGCAACTTTGTTTATTTTTCAACTTTAAACAACAAGTTATTGCCTCTTACCACTCCACGGAAATATTTTCCCTCACGAGCTTCCTTACCTGGCCAAAATATACACCTGGAGTCCAGAGAAGAGTGCTCTGGCACAGGCTTCAAGGCCTATCTGACTTTAAGTCAGAAGCGTTCTTGCCTTCTCTGCCATCAGTTGGAGTTGATATAAGCCTGGCTTCTAGGATCTCGTTCATTCAGAGTTTCCATATAGCTGCAGAGACGATAATCACATAAGTAACCCTGAATCTACCTGGATTTAGAAACTCCTCACATGTTCAAAAACAAAAAACAAAACAGTTGTTTTCTACAGCTTCATACGGCATCTAGCAAAGAATTCTCCAGAGGGACTGCAAGGCCTCCTTGGAGTAAGAACAGGCACAATGAACTCTTGTATTTCATTTGGGACAGGCAAAAGAGGGATGCTACCCGAGGGCAGCCGCAGCCTGAGGATGAGGCTGCCCATTTGGCTGGATGAAGGCCATATAGACCCATTGGCTATTGCCAGAGCAAGCTGGGAAAGAAGTACAGTGAATTAAAACTACAGCAAATGTAGGCCTGTAAAATCAGAAACTGAAAGGACAGAAACAGAAAGGGAAAACAAAAACGTATCCAGAGGAAGAAAACCCAAGTATAAAGCTGTAGTTTAAAAGATTAAACAGAAAATATGTAAAATTTAGGCCAAAACTGCTCCAGGCAGATGCTGTTCAGGAACTAGGTAGATAGCATAGCTCAGTTTATTAAGTACAAGAGCCTGATGTCTATGTATTTAGACTTGTAAACAGCCAGTCTGATTACTGAAGGTGCCAAGCCTGCTTCAGTGAATCTGCTACAGATTTTGGACTGCTGCTTCTGGAAACTTAGCCCAGCACAGTGTCCATAGCTGTATATAGCCTTCATTGTCTGATAAAACTATCCGTAATAAGTTGTTACCATTAAAAAAAAAGACACTCTTCACAGTGCTGCCAAAACTATGACTTGTTCCTAGTCATCTGACACCATCTTAAAAAAAAAAAAAAATATATTGTTATCCAGAGTGCCCCCTTGTGAAGTGATCCTACCCTATCTACCAAAAAACATGTCGCTTTACTCCTAGAGTGGCAAACAGTCTAATTGAGGAGCTTCTTGGGCTAATGGTTAAACTTTGAGCTTGCCTTATCTGCTAGCATTGTTTTTATTAAAACAACCATTAGAAAAATCATGTCAGAAATTGGCTATTAAGCTTCAAACAATCAGGTATTGAGAGACAAATTCTGAACCCTGATACCACAGCCAAGTGGGCAAGGTTCATCAGTAATGGCAAGCACAGGGAGGTAAAATAGCTTTCTTATTGCCACAGAGCACAACACAGGCACATCCAAGCAGAAATCAGGGTTGTTGTTCCTCTCATTCAACTCCAGCTGTCTATTCTATCTACCTCTGAACTGGTCATGCTCAAATCCCTTTATAGCTAGTTGGGAGAGATAAGCTGTATTTTTCTAGATATCTTCCTCAAGAGGAGATAAATCACACTTGAAAGTGCTGGTGTCTCTTCACTGGCTCAGCAGGGGAACCACACAACCAGCTCAAGTGCATCCATCAGAACTGGGTGAAGTAACCCTCCTGTGCAGTCTCCTCATGTTCTGTGTTTTGCTTTCAGTATTAGAATACATTGACTTGAATTCACAGGGTTGCCCAATGACATTTTTTAATTAAGGGATAATTTGGCCACCTTCTATGTTGATGGCTTACAACAAAATGTGCCGGAGTTTTACTATATGCAAAAATGGATCCACAAGTCTAATCCTGCCACTTCCAATTCCTTCTGGACTCCTCTGGAATGACTGAAGTGATTCAGTTCCATGCAGTTCACTTCTCTGCCATGCACCACCTGGAAGACATGGGACATGGAAGGTACCACCCACGTTTTCAGATTTCTTCCCCAAGCCGAAACAATTATGATTCTTTTCTTCTTCTGTTCCTCCTTCAGGATTTACTGATCAGAGTTTAACCCTATCTCGTATTCGGACAATTCTCCTAACTGCGGCTACCCTCTAGTTGCTTATTGATCTGTTCCGAAAGGACAGAGACAGACCATACTGGAAGTCACATAAAAAACAGTGCCTTTCACTGAGTCAAAAAGTATTTTATCTCTGCAGTTCTAAATAAAATAAAATAAAATAAAATAAAATAAAATAAAATAAAATAAAATAAAATAAAATAAAATAAAATAAAATAAAATAAAATAAAATAAAATANTAAAATAAAATAAAATAAAATAAAATAAAATAAAATAAAATAAAATAAAATAAAATAAAATAAAATAAAATAAAATAAAATAAAATAAAATAAAAATATCTGATCCTATTTTTGTATGTGGCAGCTGGAAGTACAATACTTAATAAAGCCAAGCACAATTTGAAAGGAAGATAGAAACTAAAAATAAAAAATTCAACCAAAACACCACCTACTTTTCTTTCAGATCTAGGAGTCCCTTGAGTGCATCCTCTTACATTGCTCTAAAATGCAGCAAGAAAATGTTCTTGTAGCATTTCAAAGAAAAGCCAAACACACGGAGATTACTGTTTCTCAAGATATTTTGGGTGGATGAGGCACAGCAGTGGCTGGGAGATTCTCAGACAGCAACAGAAGGATTTTTTGAAGTATTGACATACAGTAGTGTCCACAGGATGCCACTGACTTTGCTCGCTAGCTCCCTTGGAAAACTAAGCCCGGCCTTGCTGGTTTTCTGCACAGGATTGTGTAGTAACTGAGAACTCGTTCTTGCAGCCCTCAAAAGCAGGAGCAAAGGGAACTGTAGTAAACACCGAATACAAAGTTTCTATGTGCAGACAATTGTCTATGTATAACAGGTTGTATCCAGAAATCTTCCATGAAAGACATTTTTTTGCCTCTCTTTAGCCTATCCTAAAACTTGTCATTGGCATAAAAGTGTCATTTTTGTTAAGGCCTGCTTCCTAGCATGTACAACACGTGCAGGCTGCTGTTAAACTACATCTCCTAGATAGCGTTCCCAAAATGTAATGACTGAATAATAAACAGCCAACTAACAATGAACTGATAGACAAAAATTGGATCATGGCTGTTGAATAAACAGCCAACTAACAATGAACTGATAGACAATTGACAGGAAAGAAGCAGCAAAACGAGGATTTGATGTTAAATGTCAAGAATAAAGAATGAAGGCAAGGAAGGGATTAGATGGTATTTCCAGTTTACATGAAGCCTGCTCTGACTGTCTGGATTTAAACTCTGGGCGCCACATCCCTCCTCAGAAGAAACAGCATCGAAGACAATCCAGGGGACTGTGTGAGGCTTCATAAATCATTATGGCTCTGATCTGGCATAAATCTGCCAGAGCAGATTTATGTTGACATAAATCTGTCAACAGAGCCAAGAGGAAGGCCTCAGTCGTCACTGCGTTGCAGAAAACATGACTGCATTCAGCAAAAACACGCCTGACCTTCGCTCTGCAACAGGTTCCTCCTTTTCACCACCAGCCATACAGCCAGGGCATGAGCCAGAACAGCTTAAACACATACTGAGGATCTGCAGTAGAAAGCAGGGTACACCCTTAGATCATAGGATGGCCACATAAGATGCCAGTACTGATAGAGCAGGTGCAGTTTATTTTATGAAAAACAGTCTCCCCTCCAGTCTCGTAGGGCAAGCATGTGCAAGTGCTGTTCCTCCTGCACTCATCCTGGCCACAAGATCTATTTTTTTTCTTGATCTCCAGGTCTTGGGTACCTAGCTCACCGAGACCTTTAAAATGAGCAGACCTCCTCCAGTAGAGCTAGCTGAAATGATTTAGGAAGTCATGGACTCAGCTGTTTGCTTCAGTTTCTGTTACCACCACACTGCTGCAAAACACCTGTAAGAAAATTCCTAAACCATTTTATCACCAAATGTGATTTAAAGGTATCCGGCTGGCTCTGCCCTGAACAGGCTGGGTGCTCCCATGGGATTTGTTTGGCAGGAGTATCTGCAAGCAGATGTACAGCCAGCTGAGGGGCAGTAAGGAATCAGGAGAAGTGGGTTCATATGCTGTTCAGTCACATCTGCACCTCTAAGTATCCTGCTCTGCCCTTCTGATGGAGGTGAAATAGGAGCTTTCTCTCTAGATAGTTGAAAGACAGAGCTCCTGTCTGAAAGAGTATTGAATACCTGAGCTTTTATGCTGTCGCTTTTATTACGTGCTAGGACAGCCACAACTTTATCTAGCTATCTCAATGATATTAATCCAAAAGAAATGATACAGCAAACTGCTGCTTTAAATACAAAATTGGACAGATACAGTTGCGGGTCCACACTGAACTGATATTTTTCAGAAGAGAATCACACTTGGAACAAACAAAACCACTTTGCAATACTTGTAGTAAATCACTTTTTTTCCCCCTGTTACTGCATATTTGTCTTCCATCTCTATTTCTTTCTCTATTCCTTCTCCTCTTCTAAGCTGAAATAACCATATAAGTTGCAACCAAAATATTTTGGGCTCCAGGAATTACATTGCTTCCTTTTACTTTGGACCCTCAATTGGTTGGACTAGGATGACCCTCTTTTCCCATTAGATATTATGCTCATTCTGCCAATAATATACTAGAAATCAGATTTTTCATCTAACCTGAGGGCTCCAGCTCTTTTATTCTTTTCTTTGCCCAACTGCAAACGCCGCAATAATATGTTTTGAATAAAGAAATAAAAGGGTTCCTGTAACTATATTTTGGGTTTGTGTATGCTACTGAAAGAGGTCAGCTCTGTTAATGGCATGCGAGAAGAATGTATACAAATGTGCTCAGTGCTGGGCAATTGCTAGCCTTTTATGCGCAGGGAAATCAGCAGAGGCTAGTATATATGTTTTATTAATTCTTTCTCTGTCTTGGTCTTTTCAGGCCTGTTGTGTGCAATTATTTTAGGATATTAGGTAGCACGGGTTCTGAGGCTTGAGACCAGATAAAAAAAGTTGATTAGTTACCACAGAAAGGCAGTGATGTCTTTAAAGAGTAAGAGCCTGCCTACAGGCACACTGCTGTTCTGCAGGTGCACTATGAAGCACTTTGCCAGCATCTCCCGGACCAGACGGGTGAGCTGCAGCAGACTGTGCCACTCAACAGAAAATTCACACCTGATCCCCCACTCTAAGCCAAGATTAGTTTGTCCAAAGAGCATTAAGAACAAAGAGGAAGATCATATTCAACATCTCTAGGACAT